ATTAAAATTGTAGGCAATGTTCAGGCTGCAGCTACTTCAGAAAAAGTCTCAAACATGGCTCCTAAAGAACAAATGCAAATTACAATGGACAGTGAACCCATCACAGATGCACCTGATGATGCTTACACAGATTTAGAGAATGCAGCTTTTAAGAACAGCAAAGATGTTAAATGTGTTTCTGCTGTTGCCCAGAGTCAAATAGAAGTTGGTGTAGACACTTTAGCCTCAGAGAAAGTCTCTATAGAAGAAATGCAAAGCCAGATTGTCAGTGAACCTACCATGCACACATCAGTTAAATTTATGGGGGATCATTGGGAAGAACATTTAAAAACGGTTGAGAATAATGAGTTTAAATTTGATTCTCCTGCTGTAACTCTGAGTCAAATGGAAATGGGCACCACATTGGCTGTGGAGAGTTCAAGCCCAACTCCTGCATCGGGTGTAAATAAAAGCCAAACAGAAGAGGACATGCAGGCACCTGAGAACAGTTCTAGCACAGCTTTGGTGGTTGAAACACAAGCTCCGCTGATTATCCAGGATGTCATTGAGCAAACAAGAGACAACTCTAATAAAGAGCTCCATGAAAATATAATTGTTGAAAATTTACAGAAAGTGAAGAATAAAGACGAGGTACATTCAGGATGTGTGACTGTACAAGAGGATCGACTCAAATCAGAAATGCAGGTCACACCAGCATCAGTGGTTCTTGAAGCAGATCATTCAGTGGAAATACACAAAAGCCCACATGAAACACATATGCAGATTGTAACATCAGAGCAGGATAATATATTTCCTGCAGTGGAAATGCAAAACCTACAAAGCCGTGATGTCATGGAAGAACATATAGACACATGGTCTGTAGCTCATGAAGAGAGTCGAAACAAAATGGAAACAACAGAGACTTCAGTTTTATCACCTTCAGCAGAAACACAATACCAAATTAGTAACAATATCAATGAGTCTTCAGCAAATGTTTCTGAACATGACCAGGCAAATGAGAGTCTTGAAAATGAGAACAAGGCTGTCGAAGAATGTGTCCGCACTGCTGTGGGAACACACAAAATGGAAACACAATCAGCAGAAGGACTACTGGAAAATTCTCAACCAACAACTACAAAACAAATACCAAGCCAGAGAGGTCAGGAGGTCTGTGAACTCGCCACAGACACAAACATTCTTGTGTTGCAGTCTTCAACTGAAACGCAGATCCAGAAGAGTTTCAGTGTCGCTGAAAGGTTCACGATTCCCTCAACTGAGGATCATCAAAATAAGAGCAAAGAACGTATCGACACTGCTGAGACGACACACAAAATGGAAACGCAAATACCACAAATGTTAGAGGTTTCCCAACCAACGACTTCAGAAAATACACAAATCCAAAGAGGACAGGAGCTCAGTGAACTCACCACAGACATTTCTGTTTCACCACCTCCACCTGAAACACCGATTCAGAGAAGCTGTGATGTCACAGAGCCTTCAAGTGAAGTATCTACAACTGTCCAGGAAGATGTCAAGATTCACTCCAGTGAGGGTCATGAAAATGAAAACAAAGCCATAGAATATATCTGTGCTACTGACAGGATGTACAAAATGGAAATACAAACAGCAGAAGAGCTACAGGAGATATTGCAACCAACAACAACAGAGCAAAGTGAAGCTATTGAACTCACCACAGACATTTCTGCTTCACCACCTTCATCTGAAACGCATGTCCAGGAAAACCTCAACATCACAGAGAGTGCAACACATACTTTTGTGTGTAATGAGAGCACAGTTGTTGAAAAATCTTTAGGCGCTACTGAAAGGACAATTGAAATGGAAATGCAAGCAGCAGAAATGTTACTTGAGGTTTCTCAACCAGCGTTTACAGAACAAAGGCAAAGCCTGAGAGATCAGGAGGTCTGTGAACTCACCACAGACGCAAGCATTTCTTTTTTACCATCATCTGAAACCGAGATCCAGAAGAGCTTTATTATCACTAGCCCTGCAAATGATGCATCTGAAACTGTCCAAGAAAGCTTCAGCATTCCCTTAAATCGACGTCATGAAAATGGGAATGATGTTCTCACAGAATGTGGCAACAGTGCTGGAAGGACAAATAAGATGGAAACGCAGTCAGTGCCAACGTTGGAGGCGGTTTCTCAGGAAACAATTACAGAACAAACGCAAAATCAGAGAGTTCAAGAGTTCAGTGAAGTCACCACAGACGCAACCCTTTCTGTTTCACCAGCTTCAGCTGAAATGCAGGTTCACAAAAGCCTTGATGTCAGCGAGGCTGCAACAAACGTATCTGAAACTGTTCAGGAAATGTCCAAGATTTCCTCAAATGAGTGTCGTGAAAATGAAAAAAAGGCCTTTGAAAAATGTGCTGACACCGCTGAGATGACAAACGAAATGGAAATGCAAACATCAGAAGCATTAGAGGAGAGTTTTCAACCAACAACCACAGAACAAACGCAAACCCAGAGAGGTCAGAAGGTCATTGAACTCACCATAGATGCAGATGTTTCTGTTGCACCACCTTTAGCTGAAACAATGATCCAGAAAAGTATGGACATCACACAGTCTGCAAGTGACAAATCTAAAACTCTCCAGGAAAATTTCAAGATTTCTCCAAATGAAATTAGTAAAAATGAAAACAAGGCTATGAAAGAACATGTCCACACTGCTGAAAGGACAAACAAAATGGAAACACGTCCACCAGAACTGCTGCAGGGGATTTGTCAACCAACAATTACAGAACAAACACAAAACCAAATAAATGATCCTTTCAGTACTGAGAGGGAACAAAACCAAAATTATGTCATCACTTCTGAAAATCACCCCAATATAGACATGCAGACATCGTTGACACCAGAGGTTTATTATCAGAAATCTGATGTGGAACTTCAGAACCAGAGAAATACAGATGTTCGTGAAGAAATGGACACTTCTGAATGTGAGAACGTTCCTGAGATTGAAACCGACATGGAAGCTTCTGCAAAGTCTGAGATTTCTTATCTAGTTGCTGTGGTAGAACACAAAAAACATCTGGCAGAGGAAACCACTGATCACACCATGCACTTATCTGATGAAATTCTGACACCACAACCCGTTGTCAACTATGAAAATGATGGACAAACAGAACCTGAGAATGACCAAGGGGATGTAATAAGTGGATCAATGGAAAGGGCAGATTCTGCATTAGAGGAGGGCATAAAGGTTGAAGCATTGGTCAGAAGTGCTGAAGGAGTGGCTGAAAGCAGTGAAGTAATTGTTTTTGTTTGTAACCAGTCAGATGATACTGTTATTCAGGCACCAGAAGAGCAGATTAAGACTGTTCATCAGACTGAAGTTGAGTTTTATGAAAACCAGGTTGTATATGAGCCTATTAGCAGTCCAGAGAGTAACAGTGGTGAAGTTTGTACACCAATACAGCTGGGGGAAACCATTTCTTTTCTGGATCTACAGAGTGCAGAGACCCATCACATACTAAGCAAAGAATCAAACTTTTTAACTAGGGATGACAAATTAGTAATCACCCACCCTAAACTGGAAGATGGGGAAATTGTAAAGGAGGAAACGTGTGCCTCAGATTGTGGAGCAGCAGTTCTAATGGAGGTTGACACTACCAGTGAGGCGCAGTGTCATGCACATGCACACTTGGAGCAGAGTAACAAGACTGACGATGTAGCACATGTTGCTGCAATCGACTCAAGTGACAGCAGTGCAACAGATGGCCGATCACAAAGTGCCTCAAAACAAGGTGAAAGATGGGACGTTGTGGAGCACATCAGTGCAGCAGAGTTAACTGAGCAGATGCAGGAGGATACTGAGGTTCATGACACAACAGTCATCATGGCGTCAACTCCAGCTTCAACTGAAAATAAAATTACTGATGCTTCATCTGAGCAGATGCAGGAGGACACTGGGGTTCAAGATGCTACGGTCGTCATGACGACCGCAACTCCTGCACCGACTGAAGTCAAAGT